GCGCGGCTACACGCGGCACGGACTAGCTAGTTCGGATTAGGCTTCCTATCCAAACTAGCTGTACGCCTCGTGGAAAAAGCTTTATTTTCCGGAGAATAACGTCTAGACTGGCGCTTTTCTCTGGCTTTTCCCCAAGCTGGAAAAAAGCGGCAGCCATGTAAATGCAAATCCCGCGGGGGATATTTAAATCCCCCACGGATTTTGCTATTCCAATGTGTCTAATCTGCATCCCTTTTCCGGAAAATGGGTGCAGTGTAGACACAGTCCTACAGTTTTAGGTGACACTCATTCTCATCACTCCAAGTGTGAGAGCCTTTTCCTTTGCGCCCCTGACTTCTGGAAGAACCTGCACCATGTATGTATTTCTCTTTTCATACCTCATCTGCAGACATGGATTTTCTGTCTTTCTGATGCTCTTTTATATCTCTCTCTCTTTCTCGCTGCCTCTTCTCCTATTTAATGCTGTAATTGTATTATTTCATGCTGCAAAGCAGTCTGAGCATACATGAAAGTGTCTGACCAGAGTAAGTCAGGATCGTACTGGGTTGTACTCTCAGAAAAATGAAAAGGAGGAAAAGCAATAAAAGAGTTAATTGCTATAGAATTCTGGTGCGTCATACTACCACTGCCTCCGTATGAGATTCTGACGCATGAACTGAAGTCGACTCTGAGAGTGGTGATCTTGCTGCTAACTCCTCTCCTGCTGTTATATCCCGTGTCAGTGAGGAGCCCACAGCAAATGAACATCTCATGAAGAACAGCATGATATCAGTGATATAACTCAACCTGAAAAAAAATCTATGAATATCAGTGGTTCCTGAGCAACAAAGGCCCACTGCCCCTTCCTTCTCTGCTGAACGAACACACTGAATTTCAAATATGCACCCCACTGCTTTTCTATCCGTAGGCGTCACCTACCCTCCTAGTTTGCTTATAGGAAAAAAGCTAAGAAGCATGATCTCAATTCTTATTCATTTCATGAGCACTAATAAATATTTGTAGCTGTACAAGCTAAGATAATGGAGTTGGACTTGTGCTGTAGTATTTGACTCTGGAATTTGAACCTCAGCACATTTCAAGGATCTTTAAATATGGGCTTTAATCTGCTTTGTTATAGAGATAGGGGGTTGCTGCTGTACGGTAATCAGAATCCAGGTGTGGTGGTTGATTCTTTCCCAAAATCAAGAGTTATTGGTAACCAGCTCTTGTATTTCAGGAGCAAAGTGATCACTTATCAAGGGGCAGGAACGAATTTCCCCATTGTTCAATTCACTCACGTCCTGAGGTAAAGCTCATTGAAGTTGGGGAGACTTCTTCATGGCCAGGAGAGAGGGGGTTTACTTTACTTAGAAGCAGTGGACTATGGGAACTGCTAAACTCAGGATGCCAGCTAGAAAGGCCAGAGTTCCAATCTGGCGAATTTTGATTGCACTTACACTCCCATTGACTTGCTTTTTCTCCTATTCCGAGGGAGATTCTTTCTGTCCTAGTTTCCTCACTTTTAATTAGTCTATCAGAATAATTGACCTGTAAGTCTGGGGAATTCTTCTTCTTCATTTTTATTGTTTTTAAATACTATACTTTAATGGATATTTGCTCACATCATGCCGATTTTTCCAGTCCCTTTCAATTCATGCTAGCAGAATAGATCTAGTTTGGGAGACTGTTAAGCCATCATTTATCACAGTTTGTATTCCATGACATGCAAATACAGAGCTTGTCATGAGGAGCGCTCTTATCCAAATAAGAAGAAAAATATAGCAAATTCTCTGTATTTTTGTTAAAGTGGCTTCAGCAGGGTTCCGTGTTTCCACTGGGAACTGATCATTGCTAACAATATATTTTCAACTTGTTTTGTGCTTTATTTGCCACCGCAAATTTTCCATAGTAACTCTTTAGCCACATGTGTCCTTGTCTGCAGTGTTTGCAAATTAAAATGAGACCGAGTTTAACTAATTTCACTTTTGGGATTTGATAGTATTAAACAAATAGTCTACACTAGTTCATACACCACTGTTATCCCCATGATATCTGAACATCTAAATAAAAGAGAAGAAATTACTTTTCCTGGGTGAAACATAGAAGGAGATTTTGCCAATTTGGGTCCAGATTCATCCCTTTTGATTCATCATGACTTCTGTTCATGTCAATGGGGTTTCACCAGGGATTTGGTCTATTCTTTGGGAATAATTTACCTTTAGGATTTATATTGTATTTATTTCTGCAGCTCATTCATCCAAATCTGGCTTTGTATCATGATATCCCAAGCTGCCCCTTCGCTATTACAAAACTGTGTAAAACTGCATGGTGAACAGTGATATGTTGCAGAAGTACCTAAGAGGCACATTATGAACTGCATTTTCCATATAGCAATTAAAAATTACAACCCTTTTCCATCATTCTCCTCAAAATTGCACATGGGCTTCAAGCAGTCACTACACTGAGCTGCAATTAATGCATTAAATGCTCCATCTGTTCTTCACGCTGCTCATCACAGATTTATAACCCACAGTGAAGTCATTTGGCCAACAAAAACAGAGCTGGTGAGTTCTACTGAGACCAGATCCAGCATCTCACCCACAGTATCCAGAGAAAGAAATGTTTCCCATCCAGCCAGTGTTTTCCCAGGATTTGGATACAGCATATATGTTAGTTGCAGGCTTCATGCACGTGTCATTTTCAGCATGGACTTAAAGGGCCTTGTTTAGGTCTTAGTTATACTACTGTAAATACAACTCAGTTACCTGTAGTGGAGTTGCTCTTGACTTACTCTAGTGTAACTGAGATCAAAATGTGACCTATATTATCTTCAAAAGGTTCAGCTGTCCTCTAGAACAGTGTTTTTCAACCAGTGGTCTGAATACCCTTAGGGATACTCGAGAGCAGTCTGGGAGGCACGTCACCACTGAATTTTGGAAAAAACTGAATTTTTGTTTTAAGTTGTACAGCGCTTTATTATTCTTGTACCTTTTACACACAAAAATTTAATCACCTGTCTGGCTACGATTAAGATGTTTAAAAAAATGTGTAGAAAAAAATTGTGTGTGTCTGAAAACTGTAGGCACTGGGGGTACTTTTTTTTTTTTTTTTTTGAAAAAGGGGTACTTTATTAAAAAAAAGGTTGAGAAAGACTGCTCTAGAAGACTCTGAGGAAGTATCTAATGGATTTCCCAAGAAAATGATTAATGTAGCAGCACCTTAAAGACTAACAAAACATGTTGATGGTATCATGAACTTTTGTGGGCACAACCCACTTCTTCAGATGAACTGCATGGTGAGGCATATCATGAACTGCACTTTCCATATAGCAATTAAAAATTACGACCCTTTTCCAGCAGTCTCCTCAAAATTGCACATGGGCTTCAAACAGTCACTACACTGAGGAAGTGGGTTGTGCCCACAAAAGCTCGTGATATCAGCAACATGTTTTGTTAGTCTTTAAGGTGCTTGTTAGTCTACTCATTGTTTTTTAAGTTTTTCCAGTTACAGACTAACTGGGCTACTTCTCTGAAGCTTTTGGTTTCCAAATGACACTTCCAACCTTTCACTTTCTACTAGGACTGATTTATTTTTAATTCTTTCTTTCAATGAGTCATATCCTGGCCCTAGTGGTGTAACAGGACTATACAGCTACCCTAAACTGGCAGTCAAGGATTTCCCAGCATGCCACATCTCCCATTTGTAACCAACATAGTCATCTTTACATTACCTCCTTCCTGACTCCCAGGATAAGAGGAGCCTGGGAATGACTGAGGCAATGACCAGATTATGCTTTCTCTAGTGATCCCTCATGAGTGTAATCAATTCATCTGGGAATTTGATACAGCCCTTATCACAGTAGCATATGAGTGCATCACAAATGTCTTTTAACCTCACAATACTCCTGATGAGGAGGGAAGAGTTAGTCCCATTCTATAGAAGAAGACAGACAGACAGACAATGTTCTCTCTAATTTTTATCATCCATGTTAGGGATGTAAATACCCATTTAAAAATTTAACTAAGTAATATGTTTAACGGGTTAGCTACAGAGGGCTAGGATTCTGTGGTGGGGGTGTCTGCAGCCAGCGTCCTGCCAGCCAACCTGCTGTGGGCAGGTGGTTCCTTCAGCCAAGCCCTCCAAGGGTGGGGCTGCTCCAGCCAGGCTGAACCAGTCACACTGTACCAGGGGTGGGGGGCTGCTCCTTCTAGGCTGGGCCACAAGTCGGGGGGCTGCTCTGGCCTGGCCAGGCCCATCACATCATGGATTGGGGGCTGCCAGTTAACCAATAACTCGGTAAGCATGCTGGTAAGGCTAATGCTTACAGATAACTGATTAACCAGTTAGCCTTTTACATCCTTAATTTTGATATATGCACCAACGCATGTGCAGCTGTGCACCACCAGTAGAAACACATGCTGCTGACTATTGGACACTCTGCTAATTAGCTGGGGCAGCATTTGAAACTCTTCTGGGCAGCTGTTTAAGCACTCAGCTTACAGGGAACACTGGTGACAGGGTAGAGTAAACGACTTGCCCAAGGTCCCACAGGAAGTCTGTGTCTGATGCACGAATTGTACACAGGTTTCCTGACTCTCACTTCAGAGCTCTGACCAACTTCCAGCCCCACTGGTTCCTTACATGCTAGTGGAACTTAAAGGCTGCCCTCAGTAGAGCTGAAAGCCACCTTTGCCGCCTGCCTTGACTCTTGCACCAAACACAGACTGTCCAGAAACAAGGAAAAGGCAGCATGTATTTACCTTTCTTCCTTCCATACATCCTGTGTTGGAAACCACTCAGCCTCCCTCTGTGGGTCTTGTCATTGACTTCAGTGGGGGTAGCCACATGCTTATGTGCTTTACTGAACTGCCACCAGAATGTGTAGCTCCCAAATGACCTTGAAATGGTCCTGAAAATCTGCTGATCAATAGAAAAACAGACACATTTAGATGATGTGTTGAGTAGCTGCTGCTCTCCCAATCCTGCCTAACACTTGTGTGTCCAATGAACCAGCAAAGTCTGTAGCAGAAGTTAGGGAATGAGAACAATGACTTCCCTGTCTAGCAGGAGATCTAATTGTGTCTGCAAAGTTTCTGTGCCAACCATTCATCAAACTGCTCATTCAAAAGGTGAGCTAGAGTCCATCTGTGACAAGACAAAAGGAAGAGCTCTAATTCCTGAGCTTTCATTCAGGGAACCCAGATGAAGTCAGGTTATTTAAGGGCTACTAGAACTCTGACTTTAGTCTGCTGTTGCAAGAGTTAAGATATATTCCTACCTTCATACATGGAATAATGGCAACTGGAACTGCTGTTAGAAAGCAAGTCTCAGGGGTTTATATATATCAAACAAGAGGATGAGGGAAAGGTCAAGAAAGGATACCTGTTTTCCAAAGGCAGGAATTGCTTCCTCCCTCCTAAAGGCCCTCACAATGAGAAGTGAAGCTTCTCACAAGCAGCAATTCAACTTCCATGTACTAGCACCTGGGGAGAAAGAGTCAGGGTAGGAAAATGTGATTCGGACTCACCAACACTGGGCTGGCAAAGGGGAAGAAAGGGTAATCATAGTGAGGGGATTAGAGATACATACATGCAGGCTTTATCTTCACTGCGAGTTCTTCCAGCAGAAAATATGTGAATGATGTCACAATGTATGCTAATGACTCCCTCATTAGTATATTTTCTGCCAGAAGAACTCACAGTGAAGACGTAGTCACAGAGCCAACACACAGAGAAGGATAGAAGAGAAAAAAGACTGTGGGGAAAGGGGGATTCTTTATCACACTCACATGGAACAAAAATTCCAGCAGGAGAATGGTGACTAAAAAGATGTAAATAGGGTGTTTGGAAAGGAGAGGATTTTTTTACGCACATATACAACTGGGAAAGAATTAGTGTAGACAGATAGGAAGGAGCATTCACATACTTTGGGGCAGAAACACTAGGAAAGATTTAAAAGGGTGAGGGACAAGGAATGAACTGTATACAGAAAAAGGACAATATAGCAATGTAAATAGAGGGCAGAAGAATGCAGTGAAAGAAAGCAGGAATTGTGAAGGACAGAGAAAGTGTAAGTACAGAGGGATACTCTCATGTGCAAATAGAGGGGATGGGAGATAGGAGTCGCACACAGAGAGCAGGAAGCTGGGGATGGAGGCTGGACAGCACAGGGGAGTAGCATGGAGCGGTGGGTGGTAAGATTCACCCATAGAGAGCAGAAGCGGTGGGGATGGAGGGGTGGGCGAAGATTTCACATACAGAGAATGGAAGTTGGATGGAGGGGAGAACGAAGAATTCATACACAGAGAGTAGAATCATGGGGGTGGAGCAGGTTTGCAGATAGGGTGCAGGCTAAGGAGGCAATTGCCCAGGGGGCCAGGCAATTTAAAAGGCTGTAGCCACTCCTAACTGCTGCTGGCAGCACAGAGGAGCTAAGGCAGACTTCCTGCCAGCCCTCATTCTGCTCCCTGGCATGTTCCTGCTGTCCCTAAGGGGCTGGAGTGGGAGGGTCTCTATGCACTGTTCCCATCCTAAGTGCCTACTCTGCAGCTTCCATTGACTGGGAACTGCAGCCAATAGAAGTTTTGGGGGTGAAAGGGAGCTGTGCTGCCAGAGGGATGCGGTGGTACCAAAGTTAAGCACCATCCACCTCCCCACCTCCTGAATCCCAGCCTCCTACCCCAGCCCAGAACCTGCACCCAGACTCCCTCCCAGACCCTGCTCCTGCACACAAACTCTCTCCTAGAGCCTGACCCCTGCCCTCCTCCCCCACTGTAAATCCCTGCAAGGGGTGAAAGGGAGCTGTGCTGCCAGAGGGATGCGGTGGTACCAAAGTTAAGCACCATCCACCTCCCCACCTCCTGAATCCCAGCCTCCTACCCCAGCCCAGAACCTGCACCCAGACTCCCTCCCAGACCCTGCTCCTGCACACAAACTCTCTCCTAGAGCCTGACCCCTGCCCTCCTCCCCCACTGTAAATCCCTGCAAGACCCCGCATCCCATCCCCCCCCCCCCCACTAGTGAAAGTTTGGGGAGGGGGGTG